TTTAACAGAAACAAAGAAAAACGTGTTTTTTTTTCAAAATGTTTGGTTTTTTTTTGTTAATTTAGCAAAAAATAAAAACCCCAGCAGTGATTAAATACCACCAAAAGAAATCTCTAGTTGTGTGAAGAAAATTATAACAATTTAGTTTGGGTACAATGTTGTATGACCACGCAATTGTCATTCAAAGTGTGAGAGCGCTGAAACCTGAAAATTGGCCTGGGCAGGAAGGGGGTAAAAGTGCCCTGGAATGGTTAAAACACTTATTGTATTTTTTAAGAATAGCAGAATACATTTGGCCTAAACAGTGAAAAAATTAGATTTTTACATTTTTTTATTGGATATGTTTTATAACAGAAAGTAGAAAATATTGATTTTTTCCCCCAAATTTTCCTTTTTTCATTTACATATCAAAAGAATAAAAAACTTCAGAAATTAAATACCACCAAAATAAAGCTCTATTTGTGTGAAAAGATTACATAAATTTTGTTTGGGTACAGTGTTGCATGACCTGTGTTGCCAGTTAAGGTTGCACAGTGCTAAGTAGCAAAAAAAATGCCCTGGTTATGATGGGGGTAAAACCTTTCTGGAGTGCAAGTAGTTAAAATATAGTTGCATAGTTCCCAATTGTCCCTCATTTGCAGGGAATGTCACTCTTTTGGAACAATAGCCCTCTGTCATTCCGTTTTCAACAAACTCACTCTTTTTGGTCTGATGTATAGACCTCCTCTAGCAACAAATTACTATTTAACGTCAAAAAGTGTTATTCTATGGTAAAGCAACCTCTATATTATTGAATTTGCTATTTAGAAAAAGCAAGCATAAAGTAAAGTAGTGGCAAAATACTTGTGGGTGTAACCTATTATTTTTTATATATTTTTGCATAATAATTCTTCTGAATAACTGGGGATATGTCCTTTGCCTACAAACCTTGCGCTAAAAGATGTCCCTGTTTCTCATGTCAGAAAGCTGTGAGGTTTGCAGTTGAAATATCTTATATATGGTAGCTATGCTCTCTGTCTAGCCAGTTATAAGATTTACAAAGCTCTGCCAGATAGAACAGCCAGGTTGTATGCCCTGACTTTCCTTTACTGTAGCTAAAGCAATACAGCTTGGCCACCAAGTTCCTTATCAGTGCATGTGCATGCAGCACATTTCATTTGATCCTCATGCTGCCACCCTTCCCCACGTGTTACATAGAGTGGATTACAAGACAGTAATACCGAGCAGAAATAAAATACAAACCAAATCTATTCAAAATAAATGTAAATATTTGCTAATCAATACATAACTGCATTCATTTTTTTTCACATGGTCCTGGGGTATGACTCTAAGTTCAGATTGGTGGCTGTGATATAGTAAGTCCAGTGGACTTAACAGTGGGGATACCTGTGAAAGCAACAAGCAGGGATTAGCTCTTACTTGAGGTTTCTATTCACTTCATGCCACTAAGACTTGGGTTATAAACAATTAGTTCTTGGACATACAATGCTTTTACAGATGGCAGAACACACTGTAAAAGCCATAATTTACCAAGTGCTTCCATATTGTGAAAAGTATGCCTAATGGTGCAGCTCCAAGCTATGGATGGAAAGAGAAGGATCACCCCCCACCTGCAAGTGAGAAGAAGGGAGCATGAGTCCGAGTGATTCCAGTGTCAAACAATACAAGTGAAGGGATGGAAGCTGCTCAACCGACCCAAGGAGTCCAATGTTGAGGAAAGGCCTCAGCTCACATACTGGCCAGGCTCTCTAGAGGGCCTGGCCAGTATGGCAGCTGAGGCCATTCCTCAACATTGGACTCCTAGGGTCGGTTGAGCAGCATCCATTCTTTTGCTTCCATATTCTGTTTATATCAGAAGCATAGAGACATCAGGGGAATAGAGACATTGAAAGCCAGGACAAAGCTCTGTCCAGCCTCTCCTTGCAGCAATAGATCCCTGTTATAGTGATCTATTGCAGGCTGATTGCAGCCTGCAATAGATCACTACTTTATGTGATCTGATGGTGCTCAGGTGCCTACGCAGGTCTGGATCTGGTCTCCACTGACCCCCCATGAATAAATATTGTAAAAAAAATGCTAACAATTTACGCAAACCATTTCTTTCCTCTGCGTGTGTCGCAATGTAGCAATGAAAGGGGAATAAATCTATGCCAAAACAAAATGCATAAGCTAATTTTAAGCCTTGTACTAACCATTCTGCAATGTTACATAAAATTGGTACATGTGATAGAATTTGAATATTCAGAGTTTGTTTATTATATTTTGGGAGCGTGCAAACTACATTAACGTTGCTTTGGAAAAAATTACAGAAATATGGTTGATTTTTTTCATTTTTTAGTATTCTTTCACAACAAAAAAGCTGGGAAATAAAAATATACGTATCCATATTTGCTACCAAACTAATGACCTATCTCTTCAGAAAAAAAGATATGTAAGATGTTAGAGGAGTCTACAAACACTAAAAGGTATAACATGTGGAGACAAGATATTGTCGGTACTAAAAAAAATATCCTTAGACGCAAGGGCGTTTGTGGAAAAAAGGTCTGGGGGATCAAGAGGTTAAAAAAGGGAATTACATTTGACTAAAAAGCATGTTTGATATCAGTGATAAAGAACCTGTGGTCTGAGCCTTGTGCTCATCACCACCATTTTAGTCATGTCCTAGTGCTGATCCTAATGTTTGCCAATGACCACTGTACCATACAGCAACCACGATGATGCATGCTCAAAATGAAAGCTAAGGGTTTCAACTGTATAGTATTAGGTACAATTACATCATACAGCTCCAGTTTTGGTCAAGGCCAACTGAACAAACAGTGATTCATTTCCCTTAGTAGACTTCTCAGAAAAGTGTTGATTTTGATGTTTTAATGGGAGTTCAGTGCTGGCAAAGTGTTAGTCATGTAACATCAACTCAAAACAAGAGATTATTGTAATACAACATAACACGAGTACTTCAGCACAGGGGTGTAGAATTCCATCTTCTAAGCCCACTCAGGATTTCTCACATCCATGTGACTTGTATAAAGAACTTCGGACATTCCTTTCACAGTGAGCTGAAAACTTTATCAAAGATATCAAATTGTGAATTCGACATACGTGTCAACAGTTATGTTTTTCTTGCCTGTGAGATAACTAGAAAGGGGTAAGACCTTGTGTTTTCTCAGTAGGTCAAGTCTTGGCTTGGCAGCTAGTGTTTCATATCATGAACTGAATAACAGAGGTCATCAATATGGTAAACTGAATGATTTCATTTAAAATATGCATCATTAATGCAGTCCAAATCCGTCAATGCCAAGTATGTGTCAGCACTGTGACTTCTATACAACCTGATACATTTTTAGAATTATTAATCACTGAGAAGCATTTGAACTTGTTCATGTTCTTTTACTTTGCAATATTCTAGCAAAGAGTCTAATATTGTTTAATAGGATCCCCTAAAAAAACATTACATTCTATAGTAATACAGCAAAACCCCTTTAGGGTCAAAGTCCTTAAAGGACCTTATTGCATTAAAAACATATTTGGGATACATCTCATACCCATAGTACTTATTCTTAGGGCAAACCCAAGAATTGATCAGGAAGTAAACCCACCCACACCAATTCACCTGGCAAATTAGCATTGAGGGGCTGGGAAGTGATATGCAGGAAGAAGGTGAGGCTTCATATTATAGAGAAGCCCAGGGAAAAAATGAAGCCTGCGGACCAGGATTTATAGATCTGCTTGCATTCTGACAGTGACAAGATACAGTCTGCTGATTCAAAGATGAGAACCCTTAGGTGGGTATAAGATGTAATGAGTGTATCTGCTGGGTGTATTAGGGGGTATGGTGGGCTGCTCTGAATGTTTAGGGATGTATTGTGCAATGTGTTGTGTGTACTGAGATTAATGGTGGGGTCTCTGTAAACCCTGTTGTACATGACATAGTATGGACAGCCTCTGTCCATACACTGTGGAGTACACCACATACCCTATAACTCCCCACGCTGAACCTTGTTTTTTTATTATGTATTCTTTACCACTAACCATCAAATTTTGACTTAAGAATAGACAAAAGTTTGTAACTTGAACATCTGAATTCCACCAGATTTATTGGCTTAGTTTTTTTAGTGATTGTAACACAAAGAAACAATTCAAACTACCTACTGTATATGTATGCATGTGATCCTGTTTCTTATTTGTAGAAAAAAAACCTGTACTGAAAAATAGGCCATTGTTGATCTTGTTCTGAAAATGGTAGTAGCTGGCAATCTCTGGCCTCAGTAATCTGAGCCACTAGCGCAGAACAAACAAGAATCTAGTGAAGTCACAGGAAAGTTAGCACTCCTAAAACATATACTAGTTTTAGTTCAGGAACTGAAAAGTATTAAAGTAGAATTCCAGCTGAAGCCTAATTAGTCTTAAAAATACTCCACCTTCTCTCTTAACACCTTTACTAACCTGTGTAAAAAAAAGATCCATATACTTACATTTATATTTCAGCCTGCTCTGGACCAGTCAAGTATTCCGGATTCCCTGTATCTGTCAGTGGAGGCTGTAATGGAGTGGAAGGACCTCTGATGCCTGCATCACAGGAGTCTGGGGGTGACATCCTTTTTCAAAGCCATTGTCAGGTGCTCCCTGCATTCCCCTGCAGCTACAACCGGCTGACACAGGGGAGCCAGATCACGAGTGGGCTGAAAATAGGTAAGTACATACAGTGCTCAGCATAAATGAGTACACCCCTTTTCGAAAAGTAAGATTTTACTGCGTCTAGTATTTTGTATGACTTCCATGATTTGTAAGGACAGCACTACATCTTTTAGGCATGGAATAAACAAGTTGGCAACATATTCCAACATTTTTTTTCCATTCTTCAAGAACGACCTCTTTTAGAGCCTGGATGCTGAATGGAGAGTGATGCTCAACTTGTCTCTTCAGAATTCCCCGTAGGTGTTCAGTTGGGTTCAGATCAGGAGATATAATTGACCACTGAATCACTTTCACTCTGTTCTTCTTCAGAAATGCAACAGTGGCCTTAAATGTGTGTTTTGGATCATTGTCATGTTGGAAAAGTGCACGACAATCAAGGGCACATAGTGATGGTAGCATCTTCTCTATCAATATAGAGCAGTAGATTTGTGAATTCATGATACCATCAATGAAATACAGCTCTTCCACACCAGCAACACTCATGCAGCCCCACAGAAGGACACCATCATGTTTCATTGTAGGCACCATGTATTTTTCTTTGTACTTCTCACCTTTGCGACACCATACAGTTTTGAAGCCATCAGTTGCAAAAACATTTATCTTTGTCTGATCACTCCAGAGTACAGAGTCCCAGTAGTCATCTTCTTTTTCAGCATGGGCCCTGGCAAATTCAAGGCAGGTTTTTTTTGTGCATGGGCTTTTGGAGAGGCTTCCTTCATGGACGACACCCATGCATGTCATTCCTCTCTAGTGTATGCCGTATTGTGTCACAGGAAACAATCACCCCAGTTTGGCTTTCTGCTTCCTTAACTAACTGAAGTGAACTTGCATGGCGATTTTCTTCAAACCTTGTCATCAGAACACGCTCCTGTTGAGGTGTTAACTACCATAGACAGCCTGGACATCTCTGTGAGATGGTTGCAATTCCACTTTTGTTAAATTTTTGTATAAATTTTGCTACAGTAATCTGACTGATAAGTAAAGCTTTGCTGATCTTCTTGTAGCCTTCGCCTTTTTTGTGTAAAGAAATTATTTTCTTTCTCAGACCTTGTGACATTTCTCTTCCATGTGGTGCCATTGCTGACAGCATGAAATGGGAAGGGTTTCTCTTTGTTATGTAATGCCCTTTTTATAATCAATTGTCTGCTGGATACCTGTTTAATGAATAATTAGACTCACATGTAGTTGAATTCTTGTTAATTAGGATTTTGTTATCTAAAATTTGGCTTTGCTTCTAATACTTTCATTGGTGTGTGTTCATATTTGCAACATGGTCTTGAATGAATTTGTTAGGAAAAATATTTTTTTGTGCGTGCAAATGAACAAATCTTGTATGCAATCAATGGTCCGAATTTGTGGGAGTATTTTGTAGTATATTGTCCCATAGAAAATGTTGATTCTGAAAGGAAAATAAAGGTTTTCTATCAAATCTGTTAAGGTGTACTCATTTATGCTGACCTTTTACACAGGTTAGTTAGTATAGGCATTAGGAGGGGTGAGGGAGCATTTGTAAGACTAGTTAGTAGAGATGAGCGAATCGAACATGACGAAGTGGAATTCGTTTTGAATATTAGGAAAAATTCGATTCACGCCGAATCCGAAAATTAGCAAACTTCGCATGCACGAATCGAATTTTCCCCGATCGGCCGATTTTCATCCCTTCTACAGCCGGCAAAAAGTGTCCCTGCAGAGAGCTCCGCTATTTCTGACAGTTCTCTGACAGTTCCTTCACATTTACAGCGGTTGAAACATTGTATCTATTGTTTCCATTTAGGATACAGATGTATTTTTTATTCGGAAACAAATAGATACAATGTTTCAACCGCTGTAAATGTGAAGGAACTGTCAGAGAACTGTCAGAAATAGCGGAGCTCTCTGCAGAACACTTTTTGCTGGACTGGAATTCCTCATCCTCTTCTTCTTCTTCTTCATCCTCATCCTCTTCTTCTTCTTCTTCTTCTTCTTCATCCTCATCCTCTTCCTCTTCTTCTTCTTCATCCTCATCCTCTTCTTCATCCTCATTCCTCTTCTTTCTTCATCCTCATCCCCTCTTCTTCTTCATCCTCATCCTCCTCTTCTTCTTCTTCTTCATCCTCATCCTCATCTTCTCCTCCTCTTCTTCTTCTTCATCATCATCCTCATCCTCTTCTTCTTCCTCACCATCATCTCCTTCTTCTTCAATCCTTTCATCCTCTTCTTCATCCTCATTCATCTTCTTCTCTTCTTCATCCTCATCCTTTCTTCATTCTTCTTCTTCTTCCTCATGAACCTCATCCTCATCTTCTTCTTCTTCATCCTCATCTCTCATCCTCTTCTTCTTCTGTCTTCTTCTTCTTCTTCTTCATCACCTCATCTTCTTCTTCTTCTTTTTCATCCTCATCCTCTTCTTCTTCTTCTTCTCTTCTTCTTCTCTTCATCATTCCTCATCCTCTTCTTCTTCTTCCTCATCCTCATCCTCTTCTTCTTCTTCTCATCATCCTCATACCCTCTTCTTCTTCTTCTTCTTCTTCTTCTTCATCATCCTCATCCTCCTCATTCTTCTTTCTTCTTTCTTCTTCTTCTTCATCCTCTTCTTCTTTTCTTCTTCTTCTTCCTCAGTCCTCTTTATTCTTCTTCTTCTTCTTTTCTTCCTCATCCTCTTCTTCTTCTTCTTCCTCATCCTCTTCCTTCTTTCTTCTTCTTCTTCTTCTTCTTCTCATCCCTCATCCTCTTCTTCTTCTTCCTCATCCTCATCCTCTCTCATCTTCCTTTCTTCCTTCTTCCACATCCTCATACTTTTCTTCTTCTTCTTCCTTCTTCATCATCATCCTCATCCTCTTCTTCTTCTTCTTCTTCTTCTTCTTCTTCCTCATCCTCTTCTTCTTCATCCTCATCCTCTTCTTCTTTCTTCATCCTCATCCTCTTCTCTTCTTCTTCCTCATCCTCCTCTTCTTCTTCTTCATTTCATCATCATCCTCATCCTCTTCTTCTTCTTCTTTCTTCTTCTTCCTTCCCTCACCATTTCTCCTCTTCTTCCTTCCTATAACCATCACTCCTCTTCTTCTTCTTCATCCTCATCCTCTTCTTCTTTCTTCTTCTCTTCTTCTTCTTCTTCTTTTATCCTCATCCTCTTCTTCTTCTTCCTCTTCTTCTTCTTCTTCTTCTTCTTATCCTCATCCTCCTCTTCTTCTTCCTCATCAGAATCCTCTCTTCTTCTTCTTCTTCTTCTTCTTTTCATCCTCATCCTACTTTCTTCTTCTTCTTCTTCTTCTTCTTCCTCTTCCTCATCCTCTTCTTTTTTCATCCTCCTTCTTCATCCTCTTCTTCATCCTCTTCCTCTTCTTCTTTTTCTTCTTCTTCTTCTTCCTCATCCTCAATCCTCTTCTTCTTCTTCTTCTTCATCCTCATCCTCTTCTTCTTCTTCTTGACTTCTTCACAACCTCATCTTCTTCTTCTTCTTCTTCATCCTCAATCCTCTTCTTCTTCTTCTTCTTTCATCATCCTCATCCTTCTTCTTCTTTCTTCTTCTTCATCCTTCATCCTTCTTTTTCTTCTTTTTGTCTTCCTCTTGCCAGGTCACTGCTCATGCGCAGACTTTTTATCGGCAAAAAAATCGTCCGATTTGCCCACTATTGCCACGGCGAAAAATCGGCCGATCGGCAAAATCCGACGATTTTTTTTCCAACTTTACAGAAAAAAAAAACGGCCCAAAATACCGAAAAACGGCCGAGACCCAAATAGCCCACTAACCGATCCCAAAATCCCCCCCCAGGTAGTTTCCGAGGTTTTTATTTTTCGTTCTGAAAAAATCGTAGGGTGTTTGGGTATGGCCGATTTTCGACCCATCTATGGCACACAGCATTAGTGGCCACAGAGACTTTAGGGCCACAGAATCGTTACTCAGGGACACAGAATTGTTACTCAGGGACACAAGAATTGTTACTCAGGGACACAGAATCGTTACTCAGGGACACAGAATCGTTACTTAGAACTAAGTCCCACAGCTATCAAAGAATCGAAAATTTAAAGTGACATACACCCTTTTTTTTTTTTGGTGGCTGTCGTGCACAGTTGGTGCTGCAGTTTGCCGAATTGTCAAAATAAACTGACTTTTTCTGCTTCACAACCACTATTGTACGTTCAAAGAGTTAAATCCATTTACACGCCGGCTGGCGGTAATATTTTTTTAAGGGTGATTAGTGCATTCCAGTGACCAAACGTACAAGTTTCCAGCCAACGGCAAGCTGCAACTTAGGACCGACGAATATTTGTGTACAATAAACTGACTTTCTGCTTCACAACCACTATTGGCCTTCAATTGAAGCTGCTTCCCGCTCCGCCACTCAGACTACCATTGGACCTCTTGATAGTCGAATTTTTCCCCACCTGCTGCTAGGGGGATGACTTTTTAACCTAGGCCTGTGTATGGCCTTCAATTGAAGCTGCTTCTGCTCCGCCACTCTGCCATTGGTCCTCATTGATATTCCTTCTCCCCACACTGCTGCTAGGGGCACTTTTTAAACACCAAGGCCTCTGTATGGCCTTCAATTTAAAGCCGTTTTACGCTTCGCCACTCTGCCATAGGGCCCCTGTACCACCTCCTCATGCGCTGCTGCCCAGAGAAGCCCGTAAATCTGCCATGGGCCCCCGTACCAGACTCCTCATATGCTGCTGCCAGGCCCGTAAATCTGTCATGGGCCCCTGTTACCCCCCAGAACATCCTCATGCTGCTGCCAGGTCCAGATGTGTTCATGGGTCCCTAGTACCGCCTCCCATGCTGCTGCTGTCTCCATCGCCACAAAGGGCACTCTGTTCCATGTGCCACTTTCAGGTCCTCCTCACACTGCTGGTTGGGTTCCATTTTGTCATAGGGTGCTGTATGGCCTCCCATTGCTGCTGCCTCCAGTCCCCGCTCCCACTGTGGCTCCACACTCTGGTTTTGGCCCCGTGACTGCCCAAATGAGTGAAGTGTGCGGTGATATCTAAGATCGACGGCACTCCCATCTGCATGTCATACTGACTGACAGTAAATTATTTCTCTTCCCCAGCAGACTCCAAGGGCATTTAAATTAAAGGTACACGTGTTCTGCACTTAAATATAAAGGCTCTCTGAAGCCTAGAAACCCTTTTAATAAGTTAAATTCGCAGCGAATAAATTTGCGTCGAATCGAATTTATTCCGCAAATTCGGCGAAGAATCAGCCGAATCGAATTTTTGAATAATTTCGCTCATCTCTACTAGTTAGGCTTTAGCTGGAATTCTAGAAACACAGCATGCCTATTTTTCTCAGTTCAGAACAAGGACTCCTCCCCAGCTAAACTGCAGATGAGTTACCTTGTTAGTATAAAAACCCCAACCCTTTTGGTAAATTATGCGACCACAAGTCCTAAAGTTTTTTTGAGTAGAAGACCCATAAATTGGCACAAGAGACAGCTATGTACCAGATAGCCTATCTTATCTCTTGCTATATATTACTGTGGGAGATTTGGGAGTAGGGCTCATATATACATAAAAGAAGCTTGCTTAAAATCAGTAGCTGGAAGATATATACATATGTAAGATGTTATGACACATTGTCAGAGATACAGACATTACGTCTTGCTGCACAGCTTTGATTTGTGTGCTAAGATACTAAAGAAGTCTCAATTGCTAAATCACTGTATATCATAATCAGTTGCCATGTTTTAGTGCCATAAAATACTATATTCACCCTTGTTTATCCTTTTTTTATCTTGGTGTTTCTAATCTCCTCCAGCATTTTTCTGCTACTTTCTGTCTACATTTACTTACTGAAGTATTGGCTTCCTGATAGTGGCTAGAGTGGACCATGTCTGCTTGTAGTCTCCATCAGGTGTGTATGTAACAAGGAGAAGGACACATTTTGGAGACAAGGAAAGTGCATTCTCACCCTATAAAAAGAAATGCCTGAATGAACACCTTTATGGCAGGATCACAACGTAATATTTTATTGAAAGCTACAGATTTAAAAAGATTGAAGTCAACTTTTGAAGTTACATTAATATTTAAAGTCTTATGTGAGATTTTATTGATTAGGAGGTTTTAGTGTATAATTTTAATATAATTAAAAAAAAGGAGCTATATACATCTAGGGGTAATTAAATATAAAAAGTAATGCAAGCCATTTTACGCTACGTGTTTGACAGGTTTGGAGGACAATGAGCCTGGGTGCTGTGTGCAGACAAGGGGGCAGATCATGCCTGTGGCCAGAGCACATCCCAAAAAGAAGACTGCTGACAATAAGGATTCATACACTGCTGACGCTCAAAGATTTTCATTCAGAGTTAATCCATTGGATCAACAAATTGTATCAGCATATATGTAGTGGGAAAGCCTGCCTAAATATTCTAAACAAACGATATCGAGATGATATTTGGTAACAATCAAGATTCCATGTTTAAAGCACTAAGGTTAAACACCCAAATTTATTACATCCTCATTAAAGAGACATGACTACAAAATGCAAATAGGAGTTTAGGCCTAGCTTCTTAGTTATTGAGTACCACATTTTCACATGATATTGCATGCAAGAATATCATCAGCGGCTCAATGATTTCTTTCATTTGTTGTTTTTTAACTCAGTATGAAGGGAGAAGGAGTGGAGTTACTGATGACACACATATAAAAAAAAGAGACGGAAGTATATGCAAGTTAGAAGGTTATTAGGTTTCCTGGCATCACTTATTCAGATCCAGTGCCAAGAGTTTTTACACCATTTTACAAAATGGAGAGACAGAACACTTAAAGTGTTACTAAACCCAGGACCCTGCATTCACTATATCTGGTCTCCCGCAGTACACAGAACATGGAAGTGCAATTATTTTAGTAAATATAAACTGCTAAATACCCTTTCTCATCATCAGTTAAAGCAGTCTTGTGACTTCAGCAGAGCACTGGTTAAAGCTTGTAGGAGGTGTTTTCTTTCTTTCTGCTCTAGGAGGATGCAAAACCCCCGACCCTCTGTCTGGACAGTGCTGATTGGCCCTGTGTTGATCACATGCACTCTGCCAAGAAAAAAAAAAACACACCTCTAGCAATACACACCAAACTGAGCATATGCATGTGGCTATGGGTTCAGTCTGTCTTAACAGGTGGACATCTGAACAAGAGGAGGGGCAGAGTAGACAAGATCAAATGGCTGTGAGATGGGGAATCAGCTCTCATTGTTTAAACACTGATTGTGTGGAAGTAAATTAATGTTTTGACTGACATTCTGCGGTTTAGCCACAAGATGTCACTGTTTTTCTAACACAGCCTCAGACTGCATAGATATTTGTATATTCATGAAGAGGTGGGGTTTTTCACACAGAGATTTGGAGAGAACAGGAAGGAGAGGGAGAAGCCATGTTTTGGAGCATGGTGAATAAGGGGCCCTGTGAGCTGAGAATCTGATGACATCCAGGTATGAAAGTGTCCTTCAGTAACCAGAAATTGCTGCCAGGAATGCTGATGAGATTGCTGCCAGGAAGCTGATGAGATTGCTGCCGGGAATGCTGATGAGATTGCTGCCTGGAAGGCTGATGAGAGCAGAGGAACCAAGCAACATATACGGCAAGACCGCATGCTTGTTGGAGCGACATTTGTTCTGTTCAGAGTCACCAGCGGATACAAAGCAGACCCGGGTCGGTAAGATCGTGCACGCACCTCATCTCAGTGTTGGCGCGTTGAGGCTGAGTCCAGGCCTATAGTTAGTTAGTTAGGGTCTCTGTTTGTGTCAGGCCACAAGTGTTGTTACTGATTATTGGAAGGACTCCACAACTTAAAGTGACATTTCACATTGGAGAGCTGATAAAATCCTACAAACTCAAGCCAGACTGGTGTTTTGCTCAGAAGGAATACTCAGGCACGTACTACAGGACCAGTTATGGGAGAGGGAATACTGTAGATTTGTGTAAGATTGTAAGCTGTTGTGCTGCACCGCAGGCTAGCCCATACCGTACACCCATACACTGATTCCTGCTCTTTTAGGGTAATAACGGGTAAGGTGTGGCAGCTTAGTTGAGCCCGCCAGTAGGTAAATTACTTCACTTTCTACATTCATCCATCAGAAGGCACCGTGCTGTGCAGCACAAGGGTCTCAGCCTTTGGGCTGGGTGTATGTAAATTTATTGTATGTTTCCAGCATTTGTGGTTGTGTTTATTTGCCACATCTAAGTAAAATTCTGTTGTGACAAAAGCTGGTGTTGGGGTTGCTTTCCTCGTTCGTGACTTCACTGTATCCTGGGGAGCCCACCCCAGTACACGGCTTACATGGCCTTTTTACACAATGCAGAGGATTAACCCCTTAGGTTCCACAGTGATTATAACAAGAATGCTTTACTGCATATACAGACTGATTTTACTGTTGTGGGTTTAGTAACACTTTAAAATACAGTTCAATACAGGAAGTTCAGGATGGTCCCACACATGACCCTCATTACAATCTAAAGGGAGGGGCAAATTATACAAAATGCAATACCTGTTACGAATGTGCTGATGGAGAAAGTAAAGATACATTTTTTACATGAAGGCAGGATGGGCCCCCTTGAAGTGATGAGTTTTCAAGGATCATCTAAATGTTGACAGAGAAGGAAATAGACAAACTGGATTTGGAAGTTCCAGAGGATGGATGAGGCTCTGGATATGAGCATAGGAGGAAATGACAGGAGAGCTAAAGAGCAGGAGTGCTTGGAAGGAGTGAAGAGTGTGGTTTGGGTGCAATTTTGATGAGGTTGGTAATGAACCCCAATCCAGAGTTGTTGATGGCTTTATTGCAGTTTTTAGCATTTTAAATGTGTTAGTTGGGAGAGCAGAAGCCAGTAGAGGGACTGGCAGTCCATTAAGAGAGCTCCTACAGTCAAATAAGCTTTTTGAATACATTTTTAAATGTGATTCCATTACTATATTATATTTGTCCATTATATTGATCACTACGTTATGCCAGAGCGTGATGTTCTTTTCTTTATCCAGGGACTGACCATTGCCACAGCATAGAGCTGATCACTACAGCTAGAATTGGACCTGCACTATAGCAAGGGATTGTATATCACTACAGGAAGGGAATGGCAGCATTAGCTCCATTACACCAGAAACCAAAATGATGCAACAAACCTAAACTCTGCCCTGAGTCTAGGCTTGTGACATCATTTTGGTTTCTGAATACTGTGCATCTGAATACGGTATGATGCGCTTTTCCCATTTTCCTCATGTAAGTGGAGTACTGCAATACATTTTTTATGATTTTATAATTTGCTGCTCTGTGAGTTTGCCCTTTTTTCTGTCTTTACCTCATATGCCATATGAATGGAGCCATAGCAGACCTGAGCAGCTATTGGCGATATTGTGGCTGGGTCACCACAAGGCACATTCGATCTCTATAAGTTGCGGTCTTTCCATCTGTCATGAGCCATATCAAATCTGAATTGCCACTGGGGATATTGTGGCTGTATCACAGCAAAGCACAAGTGATTTCTGTTTATTGAGATTTCTCCATCTGGTAAGAAGTGTGTGAGCACTGGTGTCATTCATTTGGAGAACATTTATTGTTCAGATTGATTTACAGTACAGTTCATTATTGTCAACTTTGGGACTTTTTGTACTCTATTTCACATATATGGACTTTTTATTGATCTTTGATAGTTTTTATGCTTAATCATTTTCATATTTTTGAACCAATTCTGTTAATAATACATTTTTGTTGTCCTACTAACAGTTAGCTGACAGCTAGTTAACAAAACTGACAGAAGCAACGTTGTGTTTTTATTCCAAACTGAATTTACTTAAGTGGATAGTTCTGTAAAACTGCAATACAATCACATAAACTGAAGTTACAATATGTTTGTACACATGTCTATTACAAATGCATACAAAGAACACATTTCTTGCAAACAGCTGCCTACAAATTACATTGAATACATTTAAATGTGATCTAATTACGTATATGACTTTGACAAACACAATAAAGAATTTACAGGCATATGTGTATCAAGGGGAAAATGGAGGTCTTCACTGGTTTTCTTCAGAAAGCTAAAAGGCTTTACAGTGGCAGAGGGGAAATTTGTATTAGCAAGACCCTCCCTATTCATGATGAAAGAAATAATATAATAAATAACAACAGGTGCAGTTGCAGTGAATGCCCAATAGATGGCTTCCTTCTCAACACAATGATGATATACAATATACAATGTTGTATCTCTATTTATATGAATAGCACCCTAAAGTGACAGCTCACCTATTAAGTTTGAAGTATGTTTTGATATCTAGAATTCAGAATTTTCAGTGTTGCTGTTGTCACATATCTTTAATTTGGACACTAAGTGCAGGGAATCTTTTTTGTTTTGCATACAAAAATGCACTATTTAGCCACCAAAAGTACTCTAAACCTTTAAACTGACCTGAAAAGTATTGCATTTGTTGTTTTGAAAAGCCACTATAAAGGAGTGGTATTAACAAAAATCACTTTTGTACCTGAACCTATAGTTTTAAATTAGGGTGTGGCAGGGCATGTATTATTTGTGCTACAAATGCCCCTCTGTCTCATCTTAGAATATTTGACTGTATGGTGACAACTGCTTAACAAAATTGGAAATTAGGGAAAATCAAAAACATGGGTAGCTTTCCCTTACTTGCAAAAAAGAAAAATGTGTTTCTGTACGTGTTGCTCTTGGAGCTTTTCCCCACTTCCTGTCTGGCATTGCCATCATGACAGTAAGTGAAGGAAATTTGTTCTGATGAAGCTCTAGATAAAGTGAAAACTCCAATTGTTCCCCATTCTACCCAAAACTAAAAATAAAAGTTTTGGCTGGACTTACATTATAAGCCCAACATCAGGCACAACTATTTTTAGGTTTTGCAAATCTTTAATACTCACATTAAAACAAATTTTTTTAATCACTTTAGGAACTCTCTGTGGGCTCCGCTGAGCCATTTATATTTACAGTGGAAAATGCACTTCTGGCACCCCTCTGCATGAGATTAGTGTTTAACATAGATATAAATTCTGGTATAGGGCCTTCTTCCCCTCCCTCTGCTGTGCCATTCACAAAGCACAATTGCAAGCTCATCACTGTGCTGTGCTTTGTAAACGGTAGAGGAAGGGGGCAGAGGCAAAACACTAAAACTATGTCTATAGTCTATTATAGATACTAGGGATGAGCTCAGTCATGTTCTGATCCTGCTCACAAACCAACTGAGCAAACCCGTCAGGCAACTGTCATGGTACTGGGCCAATCAAAAGCAGTCAAGGCATTACCCAAACTGCACCTTGCATATGTGTGGTTGTGGGGAGGGGATGCCCTAGCTCCAGATAATTGGCTCAGTACAGTGACAGCTCAGGTGGGTTCGGACTAAGATCCAAACATGCCCAATCTCACCTCTAACAGACACCATTACAATGCAGCTGGGAGCTAGAAGTGAAGCTCCCATGGTACATATTAGCAGTTCTTAGTGAAGCTTAGAGAAAACTCCTGAAGTAATATTATTATTATACAGGATTTATATAGCGCCAACAGTTTGTGCAGCACTTTACAAAATGAAGGTAGACATTACATTTGCAATACAATTTGGTACAAGAGGAAACAGAAGGCCCTGCTCGTTAGAGCTTACAACCTAGGAGGAGGGGTTGAGTGATACAAAAAGGTAATAGCTGTGGGGGATGAGTTGATCGAGGAAATAAATGGTGGTTTACTAGGTAGAAGCAGGATAGGCTTCTTTAAAGAGAAAGGTTTTCAGGGATCATCTAAAGGTGGATAGATTAGGAGACAGCCGGACAGATTGGGTTAGGGAGTTGCATAGGATGGGAGAAGCTCGGGAGAAGTCCTGGAGGCAAGCATGGGAGGAGGTGACATGGGAACTAGAGAGCAGAAGGTCTTGGGAGGATCGAGAGCGGTTTGGTTGATATTTTGAGACCAGGTTGGTGATGTAGCCGGGGGCAGAGTTGTAGATGGCTTTGTAAGTTGTCAGTATTTTGAATTTTATTCGTTGAGCGAGTGGAAGCCAATGGAGGGATTGGCAGAGAGGGGTAGCAGATACTGAACGGTTGGTAAGGTGGATGAGCCTGGCAGCAGTACACATGATGGACTAGAGGGGGGATAGCCTATGTAAAGGTAAGCTAATGAGGAGGGAGTTGCAGTAGTTGAGGTGAGAGATAACCAGGGAGTAAATTAGGAGCTTTGTGGTATCATTGGTTAAAAAGGGGTGTATTCTGGAGATGTTGCGGAGATTAAGGCCGCATAATTTGGACAGGGATTGGATGTGGGCCTGAAAGGATAGTTCAGAATCTAGGGTTACCCCTAGCACCCTGGCATGCAGTGATGGGTTGATAGTGGTGCTATTGATCCTGACCATATATACAACCATTGCAATTTTAATTTGAACAATAAAGATATACCTAAAAAAGCTACATAGAAAAACTGTGCCTGGAGTTGAACTTCAACACAATTACTATAATCACTGCATCAGGTCTATCTATTTTTAGGCCATAATCACTTTGCAATTCTTGTCATTTGACTGTTTTCTAGCCTGGGCTCTATCTATCTATCTATCTACCTATCTACCTATCTATCTATAAAATGCACCGTATCTCTTGACTAAAACTGTTACTTTCTCTTTTACAACGATAATCACTGCTATAGAATGTAATAGAAGAACAAATTTGTATATTTTTGGTATACGTGGTGTACTTCTCTACTAGCATAATTATATTTAGATCCTTTACCAGCAATGGCCAAAGTTTCTTATGTAAATCTGTACGTAATTTCTTTACTGGTATAAACAATTGGCTCACATCTTCTCTTCACTGGAAACAATAACTTCATGAATCAGTCATTAACAAGATTGCTGGGAACACATTCTTCTCTGGAGCTCATCACAAAGCAAGGATTATGGGTAATGGCCCTAAATTTACGTGACCTGCCTTTAGGCAAGTGGGCACCTTATTGATTTTGTTGCAAGCTTTTAATGAGCTTTGTTAAGTGAAATCTAAATAAAACTCCCTAGGTTTTGTGTTTCCCAGTTTGTATAGACAATTATGTCGAGAACCAAAATGGTACAGCAAGGCCATTATTCTTGCAATTACTGCTTACTAAAGTAATTAATACTGTGCCAAATATCCCTTCACATTGGATTCTTTGCAATGTGAGCTGAATTCCATTCTCATGAAACGTGGGAATTCCACTACGAACTGTCACTGCAAATGCAAGCACTTTTTAAAATTATTTTTATTATTCTTTATAAAATGCATTGTTTGTAAATACAGAATTTCATTAAGATAAGATAAGGAAAATTGATCATGTGCCTATCTCTACATGGGAAAGCTCCAACACCCTTTGATATTTTATATTACATTAAATCAATATCTTTATTAGTTCTATAGGGATTTATTATCCCATTG